TTACCAGTACTTATAATATACTACACTGTATATCAGCCTTGTTGTACCAGTATAATAAATATACTACACGGTATATCAGCCATGTTTTACCAGTACTTATTAATATACTACACGGTATATCAGCCCTGTTTTACCAGTATTTATAAAGATATACTACACGGTATATCAGTCTTGTTTTATCAGTATTTATTAAGATATGCTACACGGTATATCAGCCTTGTTTTACCAGTATTTATTAATATACTACATGGTATATCAGCCTTGTTTTACCAGTATTTATTAATATACTACACGCTATATCAGCCTTGTTTTACCAGTATTTATTAATACACTACACGCTATATCAGCCTTGTTTTACCAGTATTTATTAATATACTACATGGTATATCAGCCTTGTTTTACCAGTATTTATTAATATACTACACGCTATATCAGCCTTGTTTTACCAGTATTTATTAATACACTACACGCTATATCAGCCTTGTTTTACCAGTATTTATTAATATACTACATGGTATATCAGCCTTGTTTTACCAGTATTTATTGATATACTACACGCTATATCAGCCTTGTTTTACCAGTATTTATTTATTATATGGTATATTAGCCATGTTTTACCGGTATTTATTAATATACTACACGGTATATCAGTCATGTTTCACCAGTATTTATTAATATACTACACGCTATATCAGCCTTGTTTTACCAGTATTTATGTATTATATGGTATATTAGCCATGTTTTACCCGTATTTATTAATATACTACACGGTATATCAGTCATGTTTCACCAGTATTTATGAATATACTACACGGTATATCAGCCTTGTTTTACCAGTATGTATCGATATACTACACGCTATATCAGCCTTGTTTTACCAGTATTTATATATTATATGGTATATTAGCCATGTTTTACCCGTATTTATTAATATACTACACGGTATATCAGTCATGTTTCACCAGTATTTATGAATATACTACACGGTATATCAGCCTTGTTTTACCAGTATGTATCGATATACTACACGGTATATCAGCCCTGTTTTACCAGTATGTATTTATATATTATATGGTATATTTTAGAAGAGAACAAGAATTTAGATAATTGATAATCGTGTTCAGTAATTTGACACCTTGACGTGCTTCCAATTGCTCTATATGCCAACAAACATACCATAAGGTTAGTACAGAAGGCGCCGCTTTCACTTGGCATATATTCAGGGATAGAACAATATTGTATGATACAAGATAACGACGATACAAGTAGTAAATTTCAAACTTGGCGCCCATACACATTGATTGATAGCTCCTTAAATTAGGAATGTTTAGTTGACCATCATGTCGCGGTAAATTACGATGTTAATACTTACCCGATCGTCTGACCACAATGTAACTGCATACTATGCAGTATTAGCTCAAATAAATCAGTCAGCAAAATCATACTGCGACTCGAAACCGAAATATTGACATCTGACGGCTGACCTCGTTGCTGTATATTATGCTGATCTTTGAGGGGTTTCTTCTCGAATTACAGGAAAATGCGGCACGTGAAACGGGAACAGCGCAGTGCGTTGATTAATTGAAGCCTGGTAGCGAGCATCAAAGCTCCCGTGAGATGTAATGATATGTTTAAAACTAAAATACAATAACACTAACTACAGTAATCTGGCATGAACGTTAAACACAACACCAATGCAAAGTAGTATTCCCGTACAGCATACGGAATGCATTTGCAATCTTTTCCTCAATAGACACGTGTATAGCAGTGGTAAGCAACGCTTGCAGCGATCCATGTGCATGTATTTTGTCACCGACCCTGGTATATGTGTTAATATAGCCGATAATATAACATGACATGATTATTTTCCCATTGTAAGCGTGTTCGTAATATGCCAGTGCTTGTAGCAAGTTTTTCTGTTGCTATTATAGCGTGTAACTATTGTTTTGTATTTATCGTATCTACTATATCTCAATTAATCTGGGTCAAGTTGGTTGTTTAAATTTCTTCGGTTTCTGAGTGTGTTGTAGGGGATTTATATACGCAATACATTGTATACCAGTCCTCAATATTGCGGATAGTGAATCGTTGCTAGAACATTCAGCACATAGAATGAAAAATGCATCTGTTATATTATACCAAAAGGTTGAATTAAATGTGCGTCGAGTGTATAATACTCCCCCTAATACGAATCCCTTTTCAGACTGAGAACCGTTCAGTAAATCCTTGATGATAGTGTACTATCATCAACAACCGGTTCATACTTGTTTTTTTTATGCGAGTATTAAACTCATGTATGTTATCACTATGGTGAATAATGTATAACCTCTTATGTGCATACCATTGTCGTCGGAATTGCTCGGTGAATAAAATATTAACGTCCAGGCACACATTTGATACTTAATAGACATCAATTAAATATCTACTTCTCATGCCTACATGCTATGAAAATATAATTTAAATACAAAGAACATTGCTTATTCTAAATAACAATTTTATACAACTAATAAAATTTCCGATATCGATTTAAAATTCAAAAAACTTAATTTTAATTATTATAGCAAAAACCCAAATAAATAGCTTCTATAACAAATTTATAA